AGACTGAGATTAGATGTTAAGAACAAATTCTCTCCTGTGAGTGTGGTGAGGCACTGTAACATGTTCCCCAGAGAAGCTGTGGGTGCCTCAACCCTGGAAGTGTCCAAGGCCAGGCTAGATGAGGCTTTGAGCAACCTGGTCTAGCGGGAGGTGTCCCTGGCCCATGGCAGTAGGGTTGGAATGAAATGATCTTTAAGATCCCATGCAATCCAAACCATTATATGATTCAATGCCTGTTGTCTCCTATTCTGGGTAACTGCTCAAGATTTTAAATAAGACGGGTCCAGGATAGATCCTGCAGTACACCACTTATTATCAGCTTACAGACAGTACAACCCATTAAGCACAGTTCTCTGAACCCAAGCAACCAAATCCACTTCTCCGGCTGTAACATCCTAACTTGGGTACAAGCGTGCAGCAAGATAGTGTCAAAAATCTTGCTAAAGTTAAGGTCAATCGTATCCAAGCTCTCCTCTCAACCACAGACACAATCATTTTATCACAAAAGGCTCCTCAAGAAGAACTGACTCTTGGTAAATCCATGATTGTTTCTAGTCACTTTGTCAACTAAAGGTGCAGAAATTACTTCCAAGATTATTCTCTTTGCGATCTTCCCAAGGACTGAAGTGAGGTCAACCAACCTTTGGTCTTGGATTATCCTTTGATTGGGGACCTCCCCTCATCTCTACTACTTTTGAGATGTTAGGCAGCAGCCTGACAATGACATCAGCCAACTCTCTCAGCACCCTTAGATGCAGTTCCGCTGGTTCAAAGTATGTGTAGTCATCAAGTTATGTCAGGTATCTCACAACTCACCCATTCTCAGTACTTCTCCTTGAAGTCTACCTCTAAACACAAACACTTGTTGGAATTTGTTGGAGGAGACTGAGGCAAAGACAATATTCAGTACCTCTACTCTGTTTACGACCTGCTGTCACTAATTCATCCTTCTCTTTCAGCAACAGGCCCCCATTTTCCTTTTTCAGCCTTTTACTAACAATGCAGTAGAGCAAGAAACTCTCTGTTAACCTGTCATCACTTGCAAGGCTCAACTCGAGGTAGACTATCACCATCTTTATGTGCCCAGACAATGTTCCCAAATTCATCTTTTCTAGCTTTCAGTTTCCACTTCCTGACTACCGCTTTCCACCACCATCTCTGCCCCTACACTGGAGTTTGGTGATTCATTCTGTTTAGCCAAGCTTGTCTCTTGATACATCCACTTATTTTCCTGAGTATTAGGGTACAACATACTTGGGCTTGGAGAACGCTGTTTAAAGACCTGATAATTCTGCTGAGATCTTTTACCCTTCAGTGCTGTTTCTCATGGGATTCCATCCATCAGTTCCCTGAACAAGGCCTTAATTCAAGGCTTGTATTGCACTACTTTCCACCTTTCATCTTCTCAGATCTTGGACTTCAAAGCTTCCTGGTCACCTATAGCCAATATTGCCATTCGTTATTATTTCCTTGTTTGTGAACAGTATATTCAGTTAATTATCACTCCTCGCTGGCTCAGAAAATACCCATCTCAAAAAGTTGCCTTCGTGATGCTCTGAAACACTGACACTACTTATTGGCATAACTGAAATCACGTGGCTATTATGCAACTTTCACTCTTCAGTATGCCTCGTCAGCTAGGAAGACATATAAACTAAAAATTACTGTGATTGTTTTCGCTGAAGTTGTGGGTAACAATGATTTTCACTAATTCATCCAATATTATAAGCACTACATTTGACAATTTGAAAATTATTAAATCAGTTCAATGCACAATAGATTTTCTCTGCCATGAATCCACAAACCACTTGTCCTAGGAATCCTATAATCTTTTCACCGTAACTGTTCCAAAGACTTAAATTTGCAAGAACTTTACTTCCCACGTTAACAGATCTGAATGAAGCTCTTTACGCAGCGTTTCCATCAACACAACAGCCAGTGTTCATCAGAACCACTGAATTGCTGGTGGAAGAAAAAAGTTGATTCTGGGCAAGATGTTGACTAGTTACTACATTGAATAGACCAGAAGGTCATGTACTTTGATAGCGTAAAGGAGCAGAGTGTTGTAAGTGAGCATTAGTCATGTAAATAAGATGAATCCAGTAACTAGATATATAACTTATCAGCCAACAAACACTTTGATAGCATGTTTTTACCTTATTTCTTAGAGGAATTTAAAAAGAACTTGCCAATTATAACCCAAAAAACAAAGTATCATTTAAATAAAACATACAATATTCTGTACCATGTATTCAATTATTTCCTTTTTCATTTTCTCACAAACAGTGAAACTAACTTTTTAATATATTATTTGAAATAATAAGGCCTCTCAGAGTGGAGCCCTCTGGAGGCTAGGACACAATTTATTCAGAACTGCATTTAAAGTTTTAAAGTGGTCTTCCAAAACAACAAAAATTAAGTCTACTGCAACCAAATTACAGGTAAGTAAACTGCACATTGAGACAAAAAATTGCGAATTATAATACCTTTATACTCTTTTTATTATTTCATATATATATTTTATCTTAAAATACAGTTTCTTTTATTTTTTAATGATTACATTTTAAGATGACTATTTGAAGTCAGATTCCCGCTTTGCAACATCAATTTTTAAAAAGCTGTGGGTCTTAAGTGAAGGAATGTAAATGAATGCAAGTCCCCACTGGTAGATTTGAATATATAACTTGTTATTTAAAGAAAATAACTTGTAGTGCAAATGTCTGGAGAAGTTAATTCTGCAATAACATCCAGGAGTCCATTCCATTTCCTACCTTTATTCTGGCTTCATTGCCAGATTTTTCTGTTTTCCACTGTGCCTCCTCTTTCCTCAGTTTCTCCAGGTCATTTAGCAGGTCAGCACAGCATGTATTTAATCCCTCATTTTCCTCCTCCAGGTTTTTTATAACCAGCTTGTTTTGCTCTTCCTTCCTCTGTGCACACTCCTCAGTGTCCTGTAGAACAGTACCACAAGGGCCGATAAACAAAAAAAAGTGAGAACTAATCAGCAAATATAAACTGTGCAGTTTCACCCTCACAGCAGCTTCTTCTATATTTGATGGCCAAGGTCACCTGTGTACTTTTATTGGCCTCTTTCATGCAGGTGGAAGGGTCATATTTTTTAGCTGGATGACAGCTTTGATGAGTACACATTTGCAAAGAGCCCATTAATTGATCAAGCTGCCTTTGATGCTGTCCCCAGCTATTTTTGAGACCCACACAGACATATCCTCCCAGACCTCGGCTTTATCAATTAATAATGCCAGTCCCATCAGAATCTAATTACAAGAAGCCACATCTTCACACTCCTACTTTCTTTGCTCCATTTCCATCATTAACTATTTATCTGAAAGTTATAAAGCTTGGATTCATAGCTCTAAAGCATCTTCCTTAGAGTAGGTATGTGAGAAAATGGTAAGGTATAGCAAAGCCTAAGGCAATTTTTTCACTAAGCTTGTCACTTTCTGTGCCACAAAGGCTGACATTGCTTAAAGAACTACTTCAAAGCTACAGTCTTATGAAACTATGTACAAGTCAATATACCTTAAGTTCTTGGCTTTTATCTTTAAATTTCTGGTTCAAGTCACTGAATTCATTCTTCAAACAGGCATTTTCCTCATCCACAGCAATTTTTCTCTGTGTTAAGCTGTCTATCTCCTGCTGCTGTCCTCTGATTCTCTATTAAAAAAAAATAAAATAAAATCTGTTAACAGACAAAAAGCAGTTGTAGAAGAACATGCATGTAGCGGATTTCAGACCTCTGCATCTTAGATATATGAAATGTCTCTCTGATACACATAGTTTTATACTATTGTTTTAATTTCATTAATACTTCAATTGTGCTCAAAACTGCACAACTATATGACACAGTAATATAAACAAGGAACTGAATATCTTGCTGTTACTAAACAAAAGAGCCCATAAATGCAGAACTGAATGGAAATTAGTCAGTCAATCTCAGACAAAGACAGTCATTTGCAGAAGTGCTTGTGGATTAAGCATACATCAGAATACTGTTCCACTTGCACTTTTGTCATACCAGGAAAAAAAAGAAAGTAGAGTTCAAAATTCTCCAGAATTCGTGAAGATTATGATAAAGAACTACTGAGGCAACCAAAAGATTATGATGCAAAATAGTTGTAAAAAGGGAATTAAGTCTAACTGAATTTGCATCTCAAGGAAAATAATACAATTCTATTCAACACAGACAAAAGTTTAGTGTACCCACACATAATAAAAACTCACTGCCACCAAAAAAACCCACTTTGTTAGACATTTGTGTTCTATTCGTATAACATTTGTATTAAGCCACACTCACTCCTAAATGCATACTAGAGTGCTGCAGTTTTCTTCAGGATTCTGTTTTAATTCCCTTCCTAAATCAAAATGAAATTCACTTAAAACATTTTCCTTGCATTAACACTTAACCGCAGTAAGAAACACATGAAATTTATCTCAGGACAAAAATGCAAACTGCTTTGCCTTTAATATACAAGCTAAATGAAACATGTTCAGAAACATAAAAACCACATCAGATTATTCGATGATACTGCTGATAACATACATATGGGTTTTCAACCTCCAGATGGTCAAACTTGGCATGTGTGTCAGACATGAAACCGAATGAATATGTACTGAGAAAAAACATGTGAAACAATACATTTGAAGTCATATTCAACATTTTAAACCCACATGTATTAATCAAGGGAAAACAAAGTAACCCTGACACCACTGAACTCAAAGAAACTCGCTCACAAGACAAAGCAGAGGGATTACACAGGTAGCAGTCCTGCAAAGAGCACACACTGTGGAGGAGTCAGCCGGGCTTGCTCAGCGCGTCGACCAGGGTCAGCACGCTGGTGTCCAGAGCACTCACGCTTCCCGAGGAAACTGTTCGGAAAGTGGTAACCACACAAGACTGGGGCAATCTTGGCAGTACGAGCAGCAATTTCAGTATCAGCTTCTTCTCAAGACATACACACTCTTTTCTCTACTCCTCAAAAACGCTTACAAAGCACGAAGTAAAATTTCTCTGCCCATCTGCAACACCATGGTATAACATTTGACAGCCAACTTTATAGCCAATAAACTACCTTCTTCAGTATTGCCAGAGATAAATCACATAAAGAGCATTAATTCCACGTATCTGAATATAAGCCTAAGGTTGATAGAAATAATTTCTTTATGAATTATTCTTTAAATGACAAGTGAGCTACTGTGACAGTAACGCACATGTAAAATGTATCTGAAGATGTGTAGTGAAATTAATCTATGTATTTAGCAAATGTCTTAATTATTAAAAATATACATGTCTACTTCTCTGTATGGATGGTATCTTTCCCTCATTTCTTTCATTTTTACTTTCTAACAGAGGCCTTTGTTGTATCTTCTTCCAAATTACTTTTGGATGCCTGCCTCTATTTTGTAGATTTCACTTTTTCTATACATCATACTACTACTCTCCTTGCAAATATTTTTACTGTTGTTTCTTCCCCTACCACCATCTCCAAATCTTTTCTATACATTGTTTCTCCATATTTAGTAAATTTATTTTATCCCTCTGACCACTACTTCTATCCACAGATTGTTACAAATACGGTAATGTTTCTTACAAAATAAAGATATACTGCACTACACAGTAGAAAATTTGCCCAGCAAGAACAAATCCTGCAATCAGTTCAGCATATGAGAAAGGTAATGCAATGCAGCTAACTTCTGCATCAAATATTGAAAACTAACAAAAAAACCCACTGTAAACAGATAATGTTTAGTAAATAGTGTTGGAAGGCATGAAGAATACTTCTCCCTGCACATTAAAACTTCCACTTCATCAATAACAAAAAAATAATCTTTGATGAATCTCAATAGCAGACACAGGAGAATTCAAAGAATATATAATATGATGTACTTTCTAACTGCGCTCTTTAAAAACATGGAAAAGAAAGTGAATGTGAATTGAAAAAATAGAAAAATGACAAGAAATATTGAAAGAAAAGTGAAAGAAAATACAGAAACCTCATATTTCCATATCTTGATTTTTGTCTCAGATGTCATTACTTCCAACAAAACAGACCAAAAAAAATTACAGAACTAGCTTTTATTTAAACCACTCTTCAATCAGTAATTTAATCTGAAACATATAGCATACTCTTCATTTTTCTTTATAATATAATTTCCCTA